TTTCACCTTTTGAGTTGCATTACTGAAATAAATGAACTTTTGCACGATATTCTAATTTTTTCAGTTTCACCTGTATAGGATAGAAGGAAGGAAAGGAAGGGAAGGGAAGGAAGGAAGGAAGGAAATTTTCTGATGTTCCCTATCAGCTTCCCACAAGGAAATTAAGTGGCAGGAAGTTGGATGTTGCTCCTCTCCTATTGCATTTTTGCTCATCTATAATCATACTCAGTTGCTTTGTGCAAATGGTCATGTAGAGCTGCTATTTAGGACATTTTGTCTGAATTATCCAAGAATATTATTGTAAAGGGTTTAAGAAATGAGTCAAGATGACTCCATAGAATCATTTCCTGCTTAGTAATAGACAGAATTTCTCCATGAGTTTTTAGTGTGTTTTGGTGTGTTTCTCAATCTCAGCAATTTTAAGATGGATGAACTTCAACTCCCAGAACTCTTCAACCTGGAGTTGAAATTCACCCAGAGCTGAGGTTGAGAAACAAAGGTGTATAACTTTAGGCAACAAAGCTAAGACAGAGAAAATGAACAACTGGATAGCTCTATTTTTCTTTCACCTAATAAGATTTTATTTATTTATTGAATTTATATTGCTGCCTGATCATCCATGGTGACTCATGGTGGCTTACAGAATATAAAACCACATTTAAAACAATAAAAACTAACAAAAAGAATCAAATAAATTAATATAGTACAATATAACAAAATCACCTCCCACCACCGACACCAGCGACAGCAGATCCACATGAGCCATTTAATGAGTTCCCCAGGCCTGTTGACAGAACCAGGTCTTCAGAGCCTTCCGGAAGAGTATTAGAGTGGGGGGCCATTCTAATCTCTGGAGGAATGATGTTCCAGAGAGAGGAAGCCACCATGGAGAAGACCCTTCTTCTGGGTCCCACCATAGACAGCTTTAAGGTGACAACCAGCACCTTGAATTGCACCTGGAAGCAAATTGGCAACCAATGCAGCTCTCGCAGGAGAGGTGATACATGTGCACACCGGGGTCTGCACAAAACCATGTGGGCCGCTGCATTTTGCACCAACTGGAACTTCCTGATGCTCTTCAAGGGCAGGTTCATGTACAGAGTGTTGCAATAGTCAAGACAGGAAGTGACTAGGGCTTGAGTGACTGTGAGGAGGGACTGTTGGTTCAGGAAAGGGCGTAACCTGAATACAACCCGCAGTTGTGCAAAGGCCCTCCTGGCCATGACCGTCAATTGCTCTTTGAGCAGGAGTTGTGAGTCCATGAAAACCCCTAGACTACGCACAGGGTCTGTTTGGGGTACTGCCACCTCATCCAAGATCAAAGGTGGCAATTCTCCCTGTGCCAACAAACCCCAAGCCCAGAGCCACTCAGTCTTGCAAGGGTTTAGTTTCAGCCCGTTGCTCCCCATCCAGCCCCTCACCGCCTCCAGACAATGTGAGAGGGAGGACACAACATCACTTTTACTCACCATGGGCTAAGACATACAACTGAGTATCATCAGAATATTGGTGATATCTCAGCCCGTGGTAATGGATGATCTCACCCAGCGGCATCATATAAATGTTGAACAAGAGCGGAGAGAGTACTGAGCCCTGTGGAACCTGGATCTCTCCCCTCCTATCAACACTGACTGAAAACAGCCACAGAAGAAGGAAGTGAACCAGGATAGCACAAGGCCTCCCACTCCCATCCCCTGAAGTTGTCCCAGAAGAATACTATGGTCAATGGTATTGAAAACCTCCAAGAGGTCAAGTAGAGCAAGGATGGATGCACTCCACCATCCAGGTCCTGCTAGAGAGCATCCAGAAGTGTGATCAGTGCCATTTTTGTCCCAAATCCAGGACTGAATCCTGATTGGTAGGGGTCAAAATAATCCATTTCATTCAGAAATCTCTGGAGTTGCCATGGGGCCACCTTCTCAATAATCTTCCCCAAAAAGGGAAGATTGGAGACAGGGCGGAAAGTATCCAACCAGGTGGAGTCCAGCAATGGCTTCTTAAGAAGAGGGCGGACTACAGCCTCCTTAAAGTGCTGTGACAATGCCCCCTCCTATAGAGAAGCAATAATGTCCACCAGAGTCCACCTATCTGTCACATCCTGGAAAGCTTTCACAAGACAGGAGGGACATGGACCTAAAACATAGGTGCTTGGGCACAAACTCCCTAGGATCCTGTCCACATCCTCGGGAGCAACAGGGTCAAACTGTTCCCAGATAACAGAGCGAGCACCTGCCTAAGGCTTCCACCAGACCAACAACCACGCCAGCATCTAACTGGGAACACAGTCAAGCGATTTTGTCTTCCAGAAAATCCGCAAAATCCTCAGCAGACCCCTTCAGGTGTCCAGTAATATGGTTTCAAAATGCAAAACTTTCCTTCCAGCTGGCTGCAAATTTGGGAAACTGTAGTCTAATATAAGAATAGTAAATTGGGAAGTCTTAGACTTAATAAACTAGAGATACATGAACCATAATACTAAACAGAATATTTTATACAGATAGTCCTTGATTTACAATCACAACTGGGGCCAGAATTTATCAAGCACTCAATTTCTGATCCCATGATCATGTGAATACTGTGAATGCTTGTTAAGTGCAAATACAGGTTGTGACTTTTTTCCACTGCATTTCTAGCTTTAAATGGTGGGAAAATGAATAGTTGTAAGTCGAAGACTACCTATGATGCTATTTTTCAAATTATACCTTGGAGAAACTCAGTATTCTTTGGAAAATATTCAAAAAATCATTTGCACTTCTCATCACACTTATCCTAAAAACCCCAATGGACTTTGGGCCTTGTTCTAGAGCAGGGAGGAAATTGTTTTCCTCCAGTTGTTGACAAAATGCTACCTTCCTTATCCCTAGATAATATAATGGAAATCATCATCAAAGATAATATGTAACTCTACCAGTTGCTGCTATGTATTCTTAATTCAGGAATGAAAATGATGGGAAAAATGGGCTGAAATATGCCTTATAATATTTTTATCTCCTTGTTTCTCTGCCACATTGCATTATTTATTAAACATATATGCCATCCATACCAGAATGAAGAAAAAGCTGCTAGAAAGCTTGAAAACTACTGAAAGACAAAACCTTGATAAAAAAAGATTATTGCCTTATTTTCCATTAAAGATGTTTGATTAATGTCAGTCTAGTGTCACAAGATTAAATTGAATGCTTCTTTTGTAAAACTTAATTAAATGGCAATGCTGTGTTTTAACTTTTTTTAAAAAATTAAAATTTTCTTCATATGGGATCCTTTTCTGAATATCTAATCATCCTATAAGGAGGAGGACTTTGGGGTTTGTTATGTAAATTGAAATCAGCTCGTGGTCAGTATTCTAATAAAATTTATCTCTGTGTAAAATTATAAAGCTAGGTGCCAGTGTATACATTAGCCAGAAATATGATCTTTCATTCTCCATCTTCTACTGATTGTCCTCCCAACTTTCCCCATCCCACAGTTTACTTTTCTGAAGCTGTCAAGCCTGGCTTTATCAGACTTATTACAATAACACTCAATGACCTTTCCCTGCTAGTTAGGAAAATCTGAAATGGTATGAATAACCCCGAGAACTGACTGAAAAACAAATGAAGTAGAATGGAGAAGAGGAAAAGGAATGTCCCAGAGGAGGGAAAGTTAAGCAAGTTAACCATAAAACTCTCTAAAATCCTGCCAAGAAGAAAGGAGCTTGAAATTATGGTGCACCTTCTCTCTTACCTGTGGTTATTTCTATTCTCCTTGTATGTGTGTTTTGGCGGCTGTGATGTCAAGAGAAAGAGGCGTGGCAACTTTGGAGGCAGGTAGATAAAGGATTCAAACTAAACAGGATTCCCCAGTTCTGAGAGTGGAGCAGCAGCGGAAACACAAGTCAGGTAAGCTTGTTTATCTCTCCTTCTCTTTTCTCTCCTTCTCTTCTCCTTTTGCTTCTGTTTTTCCTTCATAAAACTGGAGTTAGGAAAGGTCAGATTGAGGATAAGGGTGGGGAGGGGGGGTTGCCTGTGAACTGAAAGACATGCTGCCTGATCGTATTATTTACTGAGGATAAAATCTACAAACTTGCCCCAGTTTTGAGTATGTGCAGATAGAATTGTAGTCCAAACCTAATATCTGTAATGTAAGATTCTGAAGGCTTTTGTATCTGAATTTGTTTTATTTTTTTCTTGTGTTTATTCACATTCCTTCTGATATTTCTTCTTTTCCTCTGGATTTTTTTAAAAGTTGTTTTTATAAATATATACATAAAAACACATAGAGTTTTAAAGTTACTTTTGTAACTTCCTGTCTCAAAAAACTCTTCCTCTTCCTACTATTTGTTTCCTGTTCAGATTGCAGTCTTCCTTTCCTGTTTACATTTCTGGAACAAAGATGAAAACAGGAGGAGTGGGACAAAGGAAAATGACAGGGAAACTGATTATTATTCAATAATCTCAGTTTCAATATACTGTTATAGTTCAGAAAATTGTACTAGGACGAGAGATAGGAAAATATGTGGATCAATATGGCAAATTATACTATGAGCATAATTTCCAGATTTGTTATATCGGAGCCTTCTGACAATGCCTTTTAAGTATTGATAGAGCACATTCTATCAATAAATATGCATGTACAATCATGTTAATTTGACTACCAATTATAATAAAAAACCCTAAAGCTTTTAACTTTTTGGTGAGTTTAAAAGACTATTGTAAGATGCCCTGAATCATGTTTAGAAGGGAAGCCCACAAATTGTAAATTAATAAATTCCCATCCCCATTCTTATTCTAGCCATTTAGCTCAGTATTTCTCAATCTTGGCAATTTGAGGATGTGTGGATTTCCAGTTCCCAGATCCTGGGCTAAGAAGCTGAGAAACACTGCTTTAGATGTAAGGACTACAACTTCCCAAAATCTAATCTTACTTTAAGGAAGATTGGATAGAGGGATGCCTGATTTGAATATATAGATCTTTTTTATATAGTATTGTTAGATTGCAGAGTCAGAACCTTTCAGTTCACTCCCCAAAAAAGGCTCTTGTCCAAATATAGAATTGCAGGAAACATTGTTCTATACTTCTATCGTTCCTTGTAACTGAGATTTGAAATAGTCAAGTAGCATAGCTTAACCATGAATGTGTCTGCCTGTTGCGCTGACAACATATAATATTTGGATATATTAACAGATTTTTTTAAAAGTAGAGTGGATTGCTTATTATGTTCTGAGTCATAAAATGGAATCACCTGTAACTTCATTTCCAAATCAATATTTGTATTACTGTAGATCAGGGATTTTAGAAAGAAAAAAAGTATTGTTAAACAGTGGAGTCATTCCTTGCCATTCAAGTGCAAACCACTGCACTTTCAGTGTGACTTTAGGTTTCTATAGTATAAACACATAATAAGGTGTTTCTGTCTTCAGTTTGTTGCCAGGTTCTTCACAATAATCTGGGTAATCTGGGATGCTACAGCCTTCTAGTGCTACAAATCAAACCTCATGATATAACTTTTTTGCCCTTTTTAATTTTTTTATTTAAAAATATGTGGGTTATGGTGGGAGCCCAACATTGTGTGCTCTTATTCTCTATCCACTCATATAAGAATCATGGGCCATCCCCATTTTAGGTCCTAAACAAAAATTGTAAGGAGCCAGATTGTCTTTCTTGGTGCTTTTTCAACATACTCACTCACTCTAGCTCTTCTAAAATATTCAGTTATCTAACTATTCAATAGAAAATGAAAAGAGGCAGGTGTTAAGCTTAAAAACATGTGGCTCTCTTACTAATTTTCCACTGGTTGATTAGAGCCCTTCTACAAACAGGAATAACACAGCTCCTTGGATTGATGTTACCTTTGTTTTTTTCTAATGTCACTGTGGGACTTCTAGTGATCTTCACATGCTGTGATTAACTTCAGAAATTAACTGTTTCTTCTGTAGGTCCTGGAAAAAAAACCCATTAAAACAAAGCCATGGTATAGCATTTCTTCCAAAATTATAGAATGGTGGATGTAGTCATTCTTTGGCAGCAACTGGTTTTAGGCTACTCTGAAGGTTTCCCTTCAGTGGGTGTGGGGGGGGGTCTCTATTTTGTTTTTTATTTTTCTCCTTTTTCAAATAGCAGACAGGAGAGAAAAACAACAATGGGGGCAGTTTGCTACCTAATTGATGTTTTTAGCACTCTGTTGCCCAGCTGGAGATACACATGCTAGCTCAATGGGGAAAAGGTAAGAACACTTTTAAAAAATAGTTTTTGATATTTTGTTTGTATATAATAGTTTGTCCCTTGGGATAACGCTTCACGATTTCTTTAGCAAGTTTGCAATCTCTGGCAAACTCCACTTTGTTTAAAGTTTTTCTAGACTTTTAGGCAGTATGCCTCTCATAAAAGTAAATAACAATTTAGACACATTATTCAAAGTTCTTAGTTGCATGCATTGAATATGCTACATAAGTTACAAAACCAATTATATTCTGAGATGGCACTGAAGAAATAAAATACTAAAGCTCAGAATTAAAAGTCCAAGCACAGTTATGTGGGACTTCCTAGTGGAAGAGCCTCCATTGGAGTCATCTGGTTGAACATTAAATAGACTGGAACATTTTTATTTCAAGTATTATATTTACATCCTGCCTTTCCTCCAGGAATTCAGGGTGGAGTAACTAGCACTCTCATCTCCATTTTTTGTGTGTGATTGTACTCTTATGTTGCAGGCTAGGCTAAGGGAAAATGAAAAAGAGTTGCCTAAAACCACTCAGTGTCCGAAGGTGGACATGTGTCTGGGTCCCTCCCTTGGTCCTGGCATAGATAAGTCCATACTGACTGTGTGCTATGTTTCCCTAGGTTATTCAGCAACTTCAGGAAGAAAAAGCTGTCCTGTTAGCAATATTGAAATAAAATTGGGTCCTCATCCTACTAGACATTTGTACCTAAGACTACAGTATTAGTAGAGAAAAGCCATCCTGGCTTATGTTGTAGGCATTCTGTGGTTTAGGCTAGCCCTCTAGATAGTTAGATAAGTAGATAGGTAGGTATCCACCATTTTCTAACCTTCAAATCCATAAACCATGCATTTATTTATTTCAGCAAAAAAGTTTATAGAGTTTCAGAAATTTGTTTTGTTTTGTTTTCTCTAAACAGGTCAGTTTTGCCATTTCTGACATTTTCTCAACCCATTCACTTACTGTGGGAATTTCATTATTTTTATATCAATGTGAATACAATAATGTTGCAGTTACCATAGACAAAATCAATACAACACGAGTCTTTTCTAATTCATTGTACATAAATCCAAGTACAACCAATTTCAATTTCTTTGCAATATTAATCTTTAAATTTTTTTACATCTTTGTATGAATTTGTATCCAACATTTCTCAGCTTTCTCACAAATCCACTATGCATGATCAAAAGTTCCCTCATGCCTTTTTACATTTTCAACACTGTTTTGAAATACCTTTGCACAACTTTTGTAAATTCTCTGTTGTCATATACCAACAACATATCATTTTATTAAAAAGTTATCTTAAATTAGGACACAATGTAAATTCAATACTAGTTACCCACATTTTCTCCCAAATGTCCATCCAACTATGCAAATGAAACCATGAAAACTATGTCCTTCTGCAATCATTTGCTTTCTTGACTTCATCTGAGTCCTGGGTTTTTTTCCCCAGTGGGAAGAGAATTAAGCGGCTCAGGGGACTTCTAGTATAATCTTTGACTCAATGGTGGTGCTGCCAGCTCCAATCTAGGGGCTGCCAGTTGGCCGTTGGCCAATGTTAGAAGGACATGACTTGTTGGCCTTGGAGAGGAACAGAATGTTCTGTTAATAAAAATCCAGGTGGAACCCAACTCTTGCCATCAAGTTTAATTAGTGAAGACAGAGAACAGAGCAGGGTGACTTGTAGTGTTTGATGGCTGCCTGACAAAGGGATCCCTTCTTTGTGAAACTTTCCTGAGTAGACGACCTCTGCCATGGCCTTGTAAGCTGTCTATCATTTCTGGAGCCATGATAGAGCAGGGTTAAACTTTAAACATATTAACTGGATCCTTAACTTTGAAGAATATCTGGATTCTTCACCGGAGTTAAAAAGAACAGCATATGCCACCCTGCAAAAATATTATTAAAATTAGACCTACTATATAATATATGCTAATTTCCGCCCATTGTTTAAAACATTTTAAAAATAGCAATGATAAAACTTTAATTGCTAATATGGTAGAAGGGAAAATAGAATGGAGAGTGATCATGTTAAATACAAGTGCATTTAATTAATTCTAAATCAAATCAAATACACCCTTTGTTTTGTCTCACAGCTGCTTTTGGGAGTGAAGCCCCCAGCATGCTATTCATTCTGTTGGAAAATCACATACACAGGTAAAAGCTCTATTCCAGTGTTTCACACACACTCACATACACACAGACACACACCCTACCTCTCACTCTCACACATATTGTTACGCACACTCATTTTTTTCTTTTTTATATACACTCATAGACATTAAATTTATTGGAAATTTTAATAATAACTAATATAAACTAAAATAGAATAGAAAATAAAAAAGCGCAAAAAGAAAAACAGAAGAAAATGTAAAGAAATGGCTTCTGATCTTCTCTACAGCAGTTATAAGTGCAATTATAAATTTTTCTTCTTATGGTTGCAACATACAGTAACTCTCTTCTTTCTATAATCTATCCCATCTAATCATCAAAGCATAAATCATAACTTAATTTTTACTTATGCAAAAACTCCATAAGAGTTTCTAGTCATTAACAAATGTAGACATTGCCTTTTCTCTAATCAAATAAGTCAATTTAGCCATTTCAGCATGTTTTGTCAATTTCACCAACTATTTCTTCATTTTAGGTATTGCCAAATCATTCCATCTTTGTGCATACAATAATCTTGCTGCAGTTTTATATGAAAATAGTTTTCCTAATTGGTTTTTCTAATTGTTTATTCTTTAATACCAGGAAGAAATGTTTTAGTTTCAATTGATGTTAATCTTTAAAATCCTCTGACTATATGCCTGCACTCAAAATTTTCTAGCTTTTTCACAAATCTATAAAGCATTACTTATTCATACTTCCAACTTAAACTTGAAGCACCTTTATACATGCTTGATATATTTTTGGTATCATATACCAACAGTACATTATTTTATAAAAATTATCTTTAAGATTATATTAGTACATAATGTAGATTTCAGTCATTTCAATCACATTTTCCCATTGTTCCATTTGTATAATAATCAAAGTTTTTAGCCTATTTTATCATACACTCTTTAACCTCTTCTTGTTTCAAATGTCACTAAAAGTTTATACATTTTAACTTGTTTCAAATGTCACTAAAGTTTATACATTTTAACTAGTTCATCCTTTGTTCACAATTCCATTTAAAATTCTGTCTTACGTTATTCAATATAATGAATTCTTTTGTTTACTTTATTCTTTTTTACTCCAGTGTTTCTTAATCCAAGAAGCTAGAGGGGAATTCTGGGAGTTGAACTCCACCCATCTTAAAATGACTGGGGTTGACAATTAGTTGCCTACTCTGGAATGTAAATCTACATTGCAGACAATACTGGTTTAAAGCAATAACAGTGGCTTTCCATATCTGTACTGTATGTAGTGAGTAATACTGCTTTAAAAATATTTATAAATGCATGTACAGAGACAGTATTCTTTTAGGTCAACCATATTTATATGGCAAAATGGATTCTGCTGTAGAATTCTGGGTCTTGATGTTTTTTTGCTTACTTTATACAACACTGTTCTAATGCTTTAAATCAGTACTGAAGGGTTTTCTATTATTTGCACGTTGGAAATTAATTATTTTGCTCTAGACTTTCTATGAATTTTGAATCAGATCTTAAAATTTAGTTTTCCCTCTACAGTCACTAATTCTGTCTCTGTTTCTTTATCTCAGTTTCTCTTTTTGCCAGCTTATTCAAAATATTAGTAAAAAGGCTAGAACTTTTTGTATCCTCTCACTAAGCAGAAGCCTTGCTTTTTAAATTCAGGTAATTGAGTTTGCTGCATGACGTCACCATGGCTTTGATTTTACATCCATGTTCTCCATTAAAGTCTCAGGTCCTCTAAATTTTGGTGTTCAAATTAGCAGTTTGGAGATGAGGCTGCTTATTATGCGAGGGAAATAACATTAAGCAGCCTTATCAGCAAACCAGATCCTTGCCCTTTTAGTTAGTTTATAATCCAGTTACACAATACATGAAAAAATTGAAAAGCCTGATTTCTCTACTTTCTATGCCCCACCAAAGCCATTAATTTCTCTGCCACATCAGATACATAGGGGTTATATATCTAGTCCAAATTAAAATAAAATGACCATTTTATGCCATGTATTTTAATGTCTAAATACTACATTAAAGTGTCAGATCATTTTGGGCTGAAAAAAGATGGAAGGATACAGCAATATGTATTTCAAGGGCAGCTTATTCCACAGGGAAGTAGCTGCTATTGAGAAGACATTGGTTGGTACTATCTTTCTTAAGGAAGGAGACATCATGGATTGAACAAGACTGCTAGATTCCCTCTGAACAAGATTATTGCCATGGGTAGTCTGGATGCAGGTCATATTGAGTTCCTATATTATGGGTAATTACAAATACATTGAACTGTACCAGAAACAAATTGGCTATCTACAGTATGATATTGATGTAGTATCACTGTAATGGCTTCCTCTATCATAGCTTGCAATCCCTACTTTTTATTTCACTTCAAAATGTTCTGGCACTGCATATGATTCTTCCAAATAATTTTTAGTTTTACTTATGCTTGAGTATTATAAAAGATCTGGACAAATGTCTTTAGACTTTGAGGCACATGACCTGAAAGTGTAACATAATAAATGAATGATTAATCATTAGAATCAATTATCAACTTAATTTTTCAAACTAAAATTTTAAATAGCTACCTCCTACAGGCTTTTTAACACATTCCACATCTGGAATGTTCCTGTGGATACGAATATAACATGTCTGATCTACAGCATCAGATCAGAGGTGGGTTGCAAATCCCGGTACTACCGGTTCACTTATGCTCGCATGCGCAGAAGCATACGGGTGGGTGGGCGGAGCATTCTGCCGCTGCCACTACCAGTTCACCTAATCAAGGCAAACTACCTCTGCATCACATATATATATTTGTATGTTAATGGCCTTTTTAATTATTGTGTTCTGAATATACATTTGTTCTTCGTGGTTTAGACAAAAGAGTGTGAATAAAGCTTCTTTTTCTTGTAAAATGTGGGAAACCTTGGACCAATAGTATCTTTTAGCTCAACATATTCACAGGTTTATCAAGGAAGCACAGTGCTATATACTAAGCAAAAAGGTTTTTTTTTTAGATGCAATGTTATTTAGATTACAGGTAGCTTTGTGTTGATAGGATTGATTTATGGGAGTCCCTTTGGAAATGAAATCAAGTGGGGAAAAAACTTGAATATCTCTTTCAAAATATAATGATCAAAAGTGAGATGAAATTGTATGTGAATTTTTTCTAATTTCTCTAGGGAAAAAAAACCTTTATGAAAAGAATTATCTCTCAGAAATTTTGCAAAACAGAATTTTGTGGAAATTTGATATAGAGTTCACTTGATTTTTTTTTGGCAGGGGAAAATCACTCTATTACTGAATGTTTAGTAATGCATACATTGTCTTCATTAAGTTTAATTACTGTGTTGAGTTACAGCACGGAAGTAAAGAAAATGGAATTTTATATATCAGTGGTTGATATCCACACAGGTATGAACAATATCTTCTTCAAAACCAAGTTCCAGTGTCTCTCCTATAGGTTACCTGCTAACATATGAGATAAAGTAGCAGCCAACACTCATGTAAAGTAAAAATAATACTGCCTTCAAAAATAGTAAAACTATCAAAAGTCATTCTTCTAAGTTTCTAACTTACCAAAAAGGCAGGAAGAAAAAATGAATCTTGCTCCCTTTCTTAGATTCATGGGGAATGGCTATTCTAAATAGTTAAAGTGCACTATATGCCTGACCGTTGGTCATACCAGCTATACCTGATACCACATTTCATGATATAGAGAGGGGAACCATGTGTTAAGAAGCTAAAGTTTATTGGCTAAGGGGCATGGTAATGTCAATCTTGGGAACTGAGTCCCTTCTTTTTTGGAAGGATGGTTCATTTTCAGTAAAAATTGATGTATTAAATCTTCTACTGTTTAGTACATATACAGTAATGCTGATTTTTTTAAAAAAATAAGCAGAAATTACTGAGAAGTGATAATTTGCTGTCCAATATTTATTGCATGATTTATTGCATAATTATACCAATCAAATATAGACCAGGGATTACCCAACTTTAGTATATAGTACCCTAAACAAAAAGACAAGTCCTTGCTGAAAAGTACAAGGCTTAAAGTAAAAAAGTTGTAATAGACAAGAGCCAGGTAATGAGGTATGAATGTTAGATGAAGCTACATTAGATGTATGTAGAATGGCATCTACTGAGGAAATGAAAGTCAATCTAAGAAATAGAAAAAAAGGGTGCTGAAGCTAGCAGTTTTTTTTCTTTCTTTCTCTCCAGCATGTTTTACCCTACTTGATGATTATGCTGTGATTGCACCCTCTCTAATCACTAGAACTTTGATCATCTTTATTCTCTCTATTTCTTGCCCTCTGTAAGTTTGCTTTAAGCCTCTTGTGATATAATTTTCTTTTGGGATAGGTGAAAGGGCAACTAATATGCTGGGCTCAGCTTTGCTGCCAAGTTCAGATCCAATCATCAGGATCCTCATGAAATTACTTACTCTCAGACGTCAGTGGCTAATGACTTGCGTGCAGCTTTTTTATACAGTGTGTTGGCAGGAACCAATGTGCTTTGTTGGCAAATATGAAGTAGTAGGAAAATTCTTTGTGGGAATTACAGTTAAGTGTGCTGAAAAAATCTTTATAAACTCAATCATCCTCATAATGTTTCTCAGTAGCCCACAAGCAGGAACCATAATTAAATTAATTTTAGGGTTAGGGTTAGGGTTATATATATCAATGTTTGGTCAGAGTAATATATATTAGCTTACAAATGCATAGTTTTGCAGAAATGCTTGTCAAGTTTTTCTATTTGATGTAGAACGAATAATTTAGTAAGTTGGCGTATGCATCACAAGTACAAGAAGATAAAAATAGTTCTTCCTGATTGGACAAGGGGAATCTGGCATCTGTTTTTTTATAGTGACCAACCCAAAAGATAAGTAAATGAGTGCCATTGTTATTCAGCAATTCACTTTTAGAGTCATACCGTTTTTTTTAATTCTCCACCATTAAAAATCTAGCTGATCACTAGGTCCATATGCTGAGATTACTAGGATGTCTTTTGCATCTTGATCAAA